TATAACTGAAAAGAAAAACTCTGGTCACGTCTACATTCATCCTCTCATTACCTCTTACTTTGTCAAGCCATCAGAGCCACTGCTTTGAGTGAACAAAAAAAAAACATTCCATGCAAGAGACAAAGCATTCTTAGGCATTTCTGAAGTGTTTCAAAATCTAAAGTCTCTCTCTTCATCTGGCCCAGTATATCAGCATTAAACACTGGTTTCCTTGTAAATGTAAAGAGTGTCACTTCATAATTAGCAGCGCTTATGGAAATTTTGTTTCTTCTATCTCCTATTTGTGAAGGGGTTCCTTAACTTTGAGGAGAGAATCAAATTCTTCTGAAACTCAGATACGCAATGCATTTTACAACACTCTATAGAGCCTATTCTTAAGGGCTTAAGCACTCACTTTACAACAGAGCATAAAAGTTCTTCCTTGACAGAAGCTACAGATACAGACCTATTAATGTCTCTAGAGGATTCTCTTCTAGAAAAAGCGTGTCCAGTACAACTTTGTGATTTCAGCTGATACCATAGAAAGAGAAGCCTAAGTAATCCATATTTCTTAAATACAAATTAAGTTGGTTATAACAGATACATAAAAGTACTTTAATTACTTGTACACGCTGTATAAAAAGACAGCTCTGAACTGCTACCAGAAAGTAGCCAAGAACAGATCCTTACATTGAAGGTGTCACTTTGATGGTCTTGCAGTAAAAAAAAAAAAAAGATAAAAATCCCTTCATTTGCTCAGAAGGCAACAGAGGGAAAAGGAAACTAAACAGTTGTGCTTACAGAAGAAGAACAGCTACATAAAAAGTCCTGTCAAATAAGCAGCAACTCAAGGCTTTTCCTCTACAGCCCTGGAATGACCCCAGCTGCTGTTAAACCCTGGAAAAGTGGCCAAGTTCTGTTGTCCTGTCACTCACACAGCTCTGTTTTGCATGTTTGCTCTGCTGCTGTTATGTTCTCACACAGGTTATTTGAGTGTTTATTACAAATAAGCATACGCAGAGCCAGTTCTTGTTCAGAGCTGTCTTAAACCCAGCCTGCCACCGTCCCCTGGCCGGGCGCTTCGCACACAGTACACGCTGTGCTAGTAAAACGCTTACCCATGCAGCTATTTGGCTGCCTGGTGCTGCAGCCACCATTGGCTCGCTCCCTTCTGTTTTAGCTACCAAGAGCCAGTGATGTGATATCACTACTGGAATGTGCAACAGCTTCGCTGATGGGGCTGGCTGGGGAGGGGGAAGGGAAAAGCAAAAATCCTCTTTGGGGAAAATTAAGAGTCCTGCAGCATGCTTGTCCTTCACTGGGGTCAGTCGAAGATCAGGATTCCTTTTAGGCTCTCCATGCCCTGATGTAAAGAGAATCCACCTATTCCTCAGTCCAGTTCTCAAAACACGTTAATTTCAACTCTACCTCCTCCTGATCTTTTCACCCAAAAAATCTGAGGTTTCGGGGACTTTAAGTCCTCTTCAACCCGATTTAGATATGCTGAGCCATTCAGATTTCCTTAAGAGCGGACTGACCAAGTTCAACAGTCTGTCACTGAAGTCAGAGAGTCCTTTGTAACAGTTCTTAAAACAGGGATTAACTCTTCGACTAAGACAACTCAAACTTGACCCACGAGTTATAGGTTAAAGACAACCAGAAATAGTCAGAGACAATTAGAGGGCTATAAAATTCCAACAAGCTCATCCTTCCCAACATGTGCTTTGCTCCAGAATCAAACAGCGCTGTCTGATTTGCTGAGCAAACTTGAGTTTATCTGGACCTCACTAGCAAAATAGCTTAAAGCTGAAAGCCTGAAGGAATCAGTACTTTCACTATTGCAGTAACTATTTTAATGATCAAGCTCCCCTTTACAAAGTTCATGTTTGCTCTCCTGAACACAAGCAAACAAAGCAAAATAGCCAAATAACTAGTTAAATTCGTCAGCCACAAAAGTTTTATTAAGAATCAAGCGTTACATACTGCTCCACAGGCTAAATAGCACTATAGAGGCATTTAGACATGCCATTTGCATAGCAAACGAAGAACGCACTGATAAGCATTTCTAACAACACAAGACCAATATCACAACTGCTTACAAACCACAGCACCCTCAACCTGCACTATACAAAAAGGGGCAACAATGTTATGCCGCCATCATTTAGTCCTGTTGACCTAAAACAATGAAAAAGCAGCCTAAGTAAACTACTTTAAAAGCGAAGAAAAAGTTACATCAGGATAATTCAAACGAGGGAAGTATTAAATTCTTGCTGTCAGAAAAATGCCTGCTTCAAACTCCAAGAAGAAACATAGAGGCAGTGGTGGGGAAGGATGAGAAGCTCCTTTGCATGAACATCCTGAGCTCCAGGTAACACAGGCAGTTTCCAGACATTCACCAACAGGCCCGAGGACATTTTTCTACTCGAAGTTGCCAGTCAAGATTTTACATCTCAAGCTATAAATTAAGTTTTAGAAGCTGTTCTGGGCTGGGAGGTGCTGCAGCCATTGGATACACGGGCTTGCACCCACTAACTTTTGCTGGAACTTCACAGGAGGGGTCTGAATGCAGCAGGAGAGTTTCCGACAAGATCATTTCAATCAAGCAGCAGCCCACCCCAAAGGGTATTTTTAAGACTTCTGAAGGGAAGTCAGGTTAAAAGACAATATTGCAGGTAAAAACTGTTATTAATCCTCACTTCCCAGAGGATCCTTACTTTCCTTTGTAGAAGAGAATACGCCTGCCACAGACTTGGCTTTGCCACTCATCTCATCCATTCAAACCCTGTCTTACTACTCGAAGCCTCAAGAAACAGACATCTCTCCTCCCTGACCTGAGCTTCACTTTCAGGCTACATCCAAAGCAACAAAACCAAAAAAAAGTCTGCTGTTCTTGAAGTACCTTTTGAAGGGCAATACTCAGCTATGATTTATTCGTAGCTAACAGAAAGATCTATCTGCTACCACCCTGAACCTTTAAGTGTATTTAGTAGTACCGGTTATGAATATGCAAACAAGCCCCTCCACCACTCTCCTTTCCTGCACACTGTGGGGATGCATTTGCTCGTATCGTGCACGGCAACACGCTGCGCAGGGATGGCCACCTTAAGTTTATGTTGACACCGCTGCCGAAGTTTTATTTTATAAGAGCTACAATAGCCAAGGCCCTGCCGGGTTATGGGAACAGTTTAGTTTAGTAGGATCTCACTGGAGTTCGGTTCTAAACTCTTATAAACTTCAGAATTTAAACGAAGCTGAGATCTGACAGCACCCCGCGGACACTGATGAACCTTCGGTCGCAGCAGCTCCTTCCCACCCCCGCTGCCTCTCAAGGCTTTTTACCTTGGCACCTGCGGCAGAACCGCTCCCCAAAGCCCCAAGAAACAGAACATTAAAGCATTAAATACCCCGCGCTGCTCCCCTCACCCCCCCGGGGCAGCCCAGAGACCGACCTGCTGA